CTACCGAACAGCTGTGGATAGAGGAAACGTTAGCCACAATGGAACAAAAAAAAAAAACAATTTTCAATTGTTATATAACATGTTTTAATAAGCAATAAACTCTAAATTTTGAAGAACAAGCATTTCGATTAGTTATACGGCAGACAATTACAATTGGTAAAAAAATAATTAAATATTTATAAATGTTGAAAAAAGTAAAAGTACATTTAATGACCATTGCCAAATTATTAATAATTAAAAAATAACAATTAATGAGTAATTAATAATAATAACAACAACAAGAAATTACTAGAAAAAATAAAAAATAAATATTGAAATCAATTTATAGGCTCCCAAAGAGGCGTGGATTTTTTAAAGAATATTTTTTTAGAGCTCCCATTAAGGCGTGAATTTTTTAAAGAATATTTTTTAGAGCTCCCATCAAGGCGTGGATTTTTTAAAGAATATTTTTCAGAGCTCCCATCAAGGCGTGGATTTTTTAAAGAATATTTTTCAGAGCTCCCATCAAGGCGTGGATTTTTTAAAGAATATTTTTCAGAGCTCCCATCAAGGCCTGAATTTTTTAAAAAATATTTTTTAGAGCTCCCATCAAGGCGTGGATTTTTTAAAGAATATTTTTCAGAGCTCCCATCAAGGCGTGGATTTTTTAAAGAATATTTTTTAGAACACCCATCAAGGCGTGGATTTTTTAAAGAATATTTTTTAGAGCTCCCATCAAGGCGTGGATTTTTTATAGAGTATTTTTTAGAGCTCCCATCAAGGCGTGGATTTTTTAAAGAATATTTTTCAGAGCTCCCATCAAGGCGTGGATTTTTTAAAGAATATTTTTCAGAGCTCCCATCAAGGCGTGGATTTTTTAAAGAATATTTTTCAGAGCTCCCATCAAGGCGTGGATTTTTTAAAGAATATTTTTCAGAGCTCCCATCAAGGCGTGGATTTTTTAAAGAATATTTTTCAGAGCTCCCATCAAGGTGTGGATTTTTTAAAGAATATTTCTTACGGCTCTAATGGAGGTGGGGATTTTTTAAAAGAATATTTTTTAGACCTCCCATCAAGGCGTGGATTTTTTAAAAGAATATTTTTTAGACCTCCCATCAAGGCGTGGATTTTTTAAAAGAATATTTCTTACGGCTCCCATTACAGAGGTGTGGATTTTTATACCCTTCACCACACTGTGGTACAGGGTATTATGTATGTGTGCAAATGTTTGTAACAGGCAAAAGGAAACGAGATAGACCCATGGTTCCTTTTGAGAATATGCATAGAATCACTTTCTGAGTCGATTTATGTATGTCCGTCCGTCCGTCTGTTGAAGTTAAATTGTAAACAAAGTACAGGTCGCATTTATCATCTGATTTGGATAAAATTTGGCACAGATCATTTATTTGGCGCAAGGACGAATCCTATTGATATTGGGAAAAATCGGTTCAGATTTACATATTGCTCTCATATATATTTTCGTCCGATTTAGGGTAAGTGATGCACCAAAGTCCCTATATATCTTTCGGTGGTGTGTGCTAAGTTTCCGAAAAATCGGTTCAGATTTAGATATAGCTCCCATATATATTTTCGTCCGATTTAAGGTAAATGGTGCGCCAAAGTCCCTAAATATATATATCGATTTGCACGAAATTTTGCATAACGAATTAAATTGAGTCAATAATGATGTGGGCTAATTTTCCGAAAAATCGGTTCAGATTTTGATATAGCTGCCATATATATTTTCGTCCGATTTAAGGTAAATGGTGCACCAAAGTCCCTAAATATATTTCGATTTGCACGAAATTTGACATAACGTACTAAATTGAGTCAATAATGATGTGTGCTAAGTTTCGTGAAAATCGGTTTAGATTTAGATGTAGCTCCCATATATATTTTCGTCCGATTTAAAGTAAAAGCTGTACCAAAGTCCCTATATATCATTCGATTTGCACGAAATTTTGCATAACGTACTGAATTAAGTCTAGAACGATGTGTGTTAAATTTTGTGAAAATCAGTTTAGATTTAGATATAGCTCCCATATATATTTTCGTCCGATTTAAGGTAAATGGTGCACCAAAGTCCCTTCAAATATCTTTCGATTTGCACGAAATTTGGCATAACGTACTAAATTGAGTCAATTATGATGTGTGCTAAGTTTCGTGAAAATCGGTTCAGATTTAGATATAGCCGCCATATATATTTTCGTCCGATTTAAGTTAATTGGTGTACCAAAGTCTCTATATATACTTCGATTTGCACGAAATTTGGCATAACGTACTGAATTAAGTCTAGAACGATGTGTGTTAAATTTTGTGAAAATCGGTTCAGATTTATATATAGCTCCCATATACATATTCGTCCGATTTAGGGTAAATGATGCACCAAAGTCCCTATATATCTTTCGATTTGCACGAAATTTGGCATAACGTACTAAATTGAGTCAATAATGATGTGTGTTAAGTTTCGTGAAAATCGGTTTAGATATAGCTCCCATATATATTTTCGTCCGATTTAAAGTAAATGCTGTACCAAAGTCCCTATATATCTTTCGATTTGCACGAAATTTTGCATAGCGTACTATATTGAGTCTAGAATGATGTGTGCTAAGTTTCGTGAAAATCGGTTTAGATTTAGATATAGCTCCCATATATATTCGCGTGGATTTTAAAAATTATTTTAGGGCTCCCAATATTGAGATCGTACTGTATATCATAATTTTTTGTTTTTTTCTTTTTTATCTCATTCCACTCTCTCTTTCTCTCTTTTTGCTTATTGAAATAAACGTGATCATGACTCAATATTATTTTTTTTGTATTAAAAAATCATCTCAATCTCATTTAAGAAAAAAAACACTCTTTTGGGGATTTACCAATGATCCGACACAGAAACTTATGACGTCACAACTCGCCAATATTATTTTTATTTCAAATTTTATTTTCAAAGAATTAAAGAACAAAGCTTTTTTGTTTCGATTCCTTCGTTCGATACGCGGTGTTAAGATTAACTAAAACCCGTTTGTTGTTGTTCTTTTTGGCCTGATCTCAATATTTGTTGTTATTTCAGTGTCATTTGTTTTGTAGTTGCTGTGATTTTTTTTTTTTGTTCTGTTCGCTTACAAGATTTGAAAGGAAATAACAACAAATACAACAACAACTCACCACCACCGACAAACGTTATGGGGGTTTATTCTCAATGCTCCATGGGGCTAACGCCACATTCACAAAACGGTAACAGACGCGTGCGGTTCGTTTAGTTCGCATTCGAATTTTATAGTGGCTGAGTGGAGTGGAACTCGGCGGTTGGGGCTCAAAATCTAACCAAAAAAAAAAAAACTTAACTGTGATAACAAAAAATAAAAATACCAAAAAAACAACAACACCATATTAACTATAATTAAAATAATTTATAACTGCGGTAGCAAGCAACAACAACATGTCGTGTAATAATGAAGGTATGTGCAAAAACAAACATAAATTGTGATATGGGTATTTCCATGAGCCCGAAAAAAATAATCTTTAAAAAATCCCCACCTCCATAGGAGCCCTAAAAAATATTCTTTAAAATATCCCCACCACCATGGTAGCCCTTAAAAAAATATTCTTTAAAAAATCCACGCCTTGATGGGAGCCCTTAAAAATATTCTTTAAAAAATCCACGCCTTGTTATGGACCCTAAAAAATATTCTTTAAAAAATCCACGCCTTGATGGGAGCTCGAAAAAATATTCTTTAAAAATCCACGCCTTGATGGGAGCTCGAAAAATATTCTTTAAAAAATGCACGCTTTGATGGGAGCTCTTAAAATATTCTTTAAAAAATCCACGCCTTGATGGGAGCCCTAAAAAATATTCTTTAAAAAATCCACGCCTTGATGGGAGCCCTAAAAAATATTCTTTAAAAAATCCACGCCTTGTTATGGACCCTAAAAAATATTCTTTAAAAAATCCACGCCTTGTTATGGACCCTAAAAAATATTCTTTAAAAAATCCACGCCTTGTTATGGACCCTAAAAAATATTCTTTAAAAAATCCACGCCTTGTTATGGACCCTAAAAAATATTCTTTAAAAAATCCACGCCTTGTTATGGACCCTAAAAAATATTCTTTAAAAAATCCACGCCTTGTTATGGACCCTAAAAAATATTCTTTAAAAAATCCACGCCTTGTTATGGACCCTAAAAAATATTCTTTAAAAAATCCACGCCTTGTTATGGACCCTAAAAAATATTCTTTAAAAAATCCACGCCTTGTTATGGACCCTAAAAAATATTCTTTAAAAAATCCACGCCTTGTTATGGACCCTAAAAAATATTCTTTAAAAAATCCACGCCTTGTTATGGACCCTAAAAAATATTCTTTAAAAAATCCACGCCTTGTTATGGACCCTAAAAAATATTCTTTAAAAAATCCACGCCTTGTTATGGACCCTAAAAAATATTCTTTAAAAAATCCACGCCTTGTTATGGACCCTAAAAAATATTCTTTAAAAAATCTCCATATTCTTTAAAAAATCCACGCCTTGTTATGGACCCTAAAAAATATTCTTTAAAAAATCCACGCCTTGTTATGGACCCTAAAAAATATTCTTTAAAAAATCCACGTCTTGTTATGGACCCTAAAAAATATTCTTTAAAAAACCCACGCCTTGTTATGGACCCTAAAAAATATTCTTTAAAAAAACCACGCCTTGTTATGGACCCTAAAAAAATATTCTTTAAAAAATCCACGCCTTGTTATGGACCCTAAAAAATATTCTTTAAAAAAATCCCCACCTCCAACAGAGTCCTAAAAAATATGCCTTGAAAAATCCACGCCTCTATTGGAGCTCTAAAAATATTTTTTTTTGAAAAATACACGCCTCTTTTGGAGCTCTAAAAAATATGCCTTGAAAAATCCACGCCTCTTTTGGAGATCTAAAAAATATTCTTTAAAAAATCCCTAAAAAAATTCTTAAAAAAAAATTATTTTTTTATTTTTTCCTTTTCCATTTTCAGTTTTTAATTTAAATGTCCTCATGCAGCAGCAGCAACAACCCCACATGGAATGCCAATTCAATATTACCCATGCTGCTGATGGCTATACCCCGCTGCCCATACAAAGTTTTCCCACCCTGATGGCGGTGGGCATGAATTTATTCAATCACGTTTTAATTGTGACACTGACCTCGTATATGGTCTATAAATGTTGGCTACTAGAATTTCAAAAGACCGCCCTGCATGCCCATCTTTGTACACTTGGGGTAGGTATACCTTTGATGGACCCAAAACCACTCATTTCTAATTTGTTCCATTTCTCCCCATTTTCAGTTTGTTCTCCTAATGGCCGAGGGTGTAATGGTCCGTTATCGGGCCAATATTCTATTCGATGACTATGCGGCGGAAAGTAAGACACTGCTGCATGCCTTATTACAATTTATGGGTGGATTTTTGGGTATCATTGGAACACTGCAAAAATACTGGGGTAAAGAGACCCATTTTAAGTCACGTCATGCAAAATTTGGTAAGATCGAATAATTGAAGAAAAAATCGTATTAAATATAAACTAATAACATCCCTTCCCCTCTCTCTCAGGTTTGGCTGCCTGCATATTCTGTTTCATAAATTTCATCGCCGGTTTCTGTACCCTGATCTTACCCTCTAGCCGTGTTGCCATGAAACTGCTGCATACCTCCTTGGGCCTTTTGACATTTGTCACCGGTATGTTGGCTCAGATCTTTGGCTATGACACCGGGTTCTTTCAACGCAATTTTACCCATAAGAGGCTATTTAAATTTGTCACCTTTGTTATAATGGCCATATCGATTATTGGACCCTTTAAGATGATTACACAAAAAATGCACAGCACTTTTGTTAATTATATGCCGCAGGTGAATATCTAAAGTGAGCTGGATGACTTAGATATATGTGACGATCAAAAGAAAAACTGTGATTTGTACGATTTTAAGGTTAATTGTTGTAACCCACCCCCGGTGGGACCCCCTTCTATGTGTTTTGTTTGTTTTTTGTTCTAGAGATATAAAATTAAGTTATTATAAAAATATAGTATTTAAATAAATTATAATTTTATAATAAAAAAACTTTAAAAAATCCATGCCTCTTTTGGCGCCCTAAAAATTATTCTTTAACAAATCCCCACCTCCATGGGAGCCCTAGAAAATATTCTTTAAAAAAATTCCCACCTCTATGGGAGCCCTGAAAAATATTCATTAAAAATCCAAACCGATTAGTCTCTCTTCCTTTCTACTCAAGACTTTAGAATGGTTACTAGACTCAGAAATTAGGAAAGCTATTGACCAAATTAAACTTAGCAACTCCCATCATGCACACATCAAAGGCAAATCAGTGGATACACCCTTACATGAGGTTGTTGGATGCATAGAGAAGAATATGGAGTCCTCTGGCTACACTTTGGCAAAATTCCTCGACATTGAGAGAGCATTCAACAATGTGAAGCTAGAAACCATCCATTCTGCTTTCGTAAGCACAGATATCCCCTCACTCCTAACGGAATGGATTGATAGAATGCTGGAAAGCAGAATTATCAACTCATCCTTAGGAGAGAGTTCCGTGAGGAAATCTGTCAACAGAGGCACACCACAGGGAGGAGTACTATCTTCCCTTTTGCGGCTTCTGGTGAAGCAAAATACCTTGGCACCATCCTTGAAACTAACGTGGAATAGAAATGTGGAGAAACACTCTAAGAAAGGACTGCTGGCACTCTACTCTTATAAGAACTCCATAGGTAAGAGCTGGGGATTAAGACCCGAGATAATACGCTGGCTGCATATGACGATCGTCCTACCCATTCTTACTTATGGTTGCCTTGTTTGGTGGCAGGGAGTCAACAAAAAGATGCTGCTGACAAAATTAAGTTTAGTACAGCGATCGGCTTCAATTCTGATCACCGGAGCGTTAAGAAGTACACCACAGGCAGCCTTGAATGCAATTCTGGATCTCCAACCACTGGACATTCTGATTAAATTCCAGGCGGCCAGGAGTGCCCTGAGGCTCCTGGAAACGGATGCCTTGAAATCGTTGAACTATGGTCATGCTAATATCCTAAACATAACGCCAGGTTGTGACCTCTTGAGGGGGAATAGTCATATTAGTGACTATGTTCCCTCTCACAGAGACTTTAATGACATCAAAGTGGAGTTTCCTAGTATGGAAATCCTTGCAATCACCGAGATGGTAAAATCACTTACTGCCGACATTACGGGACTATATATGTCGATAGTCAGGCGGCCCTTAAAGCGGTTAAGTCGCGTACTATAAACTCAAAGCAGTTCATGATTGCAAGTCCGCACTGAATGATATACGACAGATAGTTAGTTTATGTTCGGTTCCAGGACATAGTGACATTGAAGGGAATGAGATAGCCGTCAAGCTTGCTCGAGGGGGCTCACAGTCGTAAAATCTTCCGATTGAGAGATCTGTGAAACCTGCCATCGGCTATTTCATTGGCAGAATCCGTTCGACTACTGAGAGGTAGTCGGCAACAGATGGCTGAGAGAACCTGCTTGCAGAATCTCAAAATCTATCTGGCCTGAATTCTCTCGCTGCTGACACACAATAAGATCATAACAGGTGGGGGATCATAACAGGTCACTGCAAGGCGTGACAGGTCACTCACTTCGAAGTGGGACTCCAGTGGGGAGGATTACTGTCGCCTATGTGAGGACGAAGAAGAACTAGAAACAATTGACGTATTCTCTGTGAATGTTCATCGCTGATTAGCAGAAGACATAAACAGTTTGGAAGATGTGAAATTGGTAATCTAGCATTCTTCTCTAAAATAGACCCAAACCAGATCCTAGGCTTTGTCAAAAATTTGACATGGTTAAAATACAATTTTTCCTTCTCTGGCTATCTGTTCTCCTTGTTCTTCCACTTTTCTTTTCTTTGCAGGTAAAAAAGGATGATCACAATTGACATAGTCTCCGAATGGACGGTTGTTACAACCGTACATCCCTATCAACCCTAAGCTCGAAAAAATATTCTTTAAAAAATCCACGCCTTGATGGGGGATTGAAAAAATATTCTTTAAAAAATCCACGCCTTGATGGGAGATTGAAAAAATATTCTTTAAAAAATCCACGCCTTGATGGGAGATTGAAAAAATATTCTTTAAAAAATCCACGCCTTGATGGGAGATTGAAAAAATATTCTTTAAAAAATCCACGCCTTGATGGGAGATTGAAAAAATATTCTTTAAAAAATCCACGCCTTGATGGGAGATTGAAAAAATATTCTTTAAAAAATCCACGCCTTGATGGGAGATTGAAAAAATATTCTTTAAAAAATCCACGCCTTGATGGGAGATTGAAAAAATATTCTTTAAAAAATCCACGCCTTGATGGGAGATTGAAAAAATATTCTTTAAAAAATCCACGCCTTGATGGGAGATTGAAAAAATATTCTTTAAAAAATCCACGCCTTGATGGGAGATTGAAAAAATATTCTTTAAAAAATCCACGCCTTGATGGGAGATTGAAAAAATATTCTTTAAAAAATCCACGCCTTGATGGGAGATTGAAAAAATATTCTTTAAAAAATCCACGCCTTGATGGGAGATTGAAAAAATATTCTTTAAAAAATCCACGCCTTGATGGGAGATTGAAAAAATATTCTTTAAAAAATCCACGCCTTGATGGGAGATTGAAAAAATATTCTTTAAAAAATCCACGCCTTGATGGGAGATTGAAAAAATATTCTTTAAAAAATCCACGTCTTGATGGGAGATTGAAAAAATATTCTTTAAAAAATCCACGCCTTGATGGGAGATTGAAAAAATATTCTTTAAAAAATCCACGCCTTGATGGGAGAATGAAAAAATATTCTTTAAAAAATCCACGCCTTGATGGGAGATTGAAAAAATATTCTTTAAAAAATCCACGCCTTGATGGGAGATTGAAAAAATATTCTTTAAAAAATCCACGCCTTGATGGGAGATTGAAAAAATATTCTTTAAAAAATCCACGCCTTGATGGGAGCTTGAAAAAAATTTCCTTAGAAAATCCTCGCCTTGATGGGAGTTCGAAAAATTAGTCCTTAGGAAATCCACGCCTTCTTAATATTCCTCTCCTTCCAATGTGATTCTTCATTTGTTGTTGGTTAGTCCTCCAAAGAATACTTCCAAATGTTTGTGTTTAAATATTTTATTCTCCAAATGATATCGGGTCGATATTGGGTAGGAAATTTCTTTCCATAACACAGTTATACATTTGTTTTGAACAACTAATAACTACACACATAGATATTTTGTTAGATTATGATATACATATATAGAAATAGGCTTGGAAGAGTAAATAATATATAGGGGAATAAGACCAATGCCATTTCATATTTCAAACACTACAGACTAAGATAAGATACATAAACGAAAAATAGTTATTCTTTTAAAATAAAAAATATAATTCAGTTTCTTGGGACGAATTGGAGGGTTTCTAAACCATTTCCAGTCCACCATTCAAATTATGTATTTCATTTAACGGCCCATACGTTGAGAGGCCGAAATAAGATCCAATGCTTCGGGTATATTGCCATTGACACTTTCCAATAATTGTGTCAGCCAGGCACCCTCATTGCTGAAACCCATTGCCATCATGGCGTGAACAGAGCTGTTGATGAGTTCATCTAAAAAATGGAAAAAAAGAGAATTATTTTAAATATTCAAAATAAATGTTTATTGTTTCAAACTTACCCTGATGATAAACAGGTACGGATCTCTTCTCTTCGGGTTTTTTGGTGACTGCTGAAGTTTCCTTTTCTGTTTCCTTGTTGAAAACTGGTACAGCACGCAATTCCTTTGGTACCTCGTTGGCTGCTCCCTCCTTACGTTCTTCTGTTTCCATTTTATCAATGTGGGCCTTTAGATCGGCACTTATTTGGGCAAAGTCCATAACATTGGATTTATTCAAAGAAGATTGTGGTGGTGTTGTTGTGGCTGAGCTGGGACCAGCAGAAGGAATTGATGCTGCAGCTGATGCTGCCTCGGGACTTGCCTCCTTGGAGCTGGGGGCATTTAATTTAATAAATGACTCCGAAACGCTATCACTTTCACTGTCACTACCCACATCACTGATATCCAAGAGACCATTAGTGACGGCGGCTTCCTCTTGACTGGTTTTCTTTGGCTCTGCAGCGGCGGCGGCATCAGTTTCGGATTTTGAAGATGTTGTAGTTTTTGAGGAATTCATCGAGTTAGTATTGGAGTGTTGTGAAGAAGTGTTTGAGGGGCGACGAAAATTGGCGGCAAATGGACAAGCGGTGGCATCACCACCCTCAGCCCCATCCATGGGATCAAGCATTTTGGCAAACATATCATTGAAATTATTTAAAATTTCCATGCCACCCTTCAAGAGTTTGGGATCAAGCAATTGGACAAAATCTTGTAGTGAGGGGGTGGCCGACATGGTTGGGGTGGCTTGGGCACTGTTATTGGGTGTTGACGATTTGGATGTGGTGGGCTTTTCGTTATCAACGGATGTTGTAGTGGTAGAGGGGGAGGGACTGGCCTCCTTGGAGGCGGCTGCTGCTGCCATGGTAGTTTCCTGTATAACCTTGGCTGCAATTTCAGCCGATTTCACAGCAGTCTCATGGGCTTTTTGGGCTGCCAAATTTGCTGCTTCGGCAGCTGCCTTGGCAATGGCCTCATGATCCACATTTTCAGTAGTTGGAATTTTAGTAGTATTATCAGAAGTCTCTGGTGTACAAGCCGAACCTCCAGCCGAGGCGGCTGCAGCTGCTGCGGCTCCACCACCCTCAGCCAAATCATGCATCATTTCATACAAATGAGATAGGAAATTATGACGAGCATGGCGACGTCCATGTTTACGACCACTTTCCTTGGGCTTTTCACCTTCACCATTGCTGGTGGCACCGGCAGCTGCCGATGAGCAGCTAGGTGATCCAGCTGCTGCTGCACTCTTCCAACGTTTTTCATGATGATGATGTTTACGACCCAATTTACGACCACACCCGCCAAGACCTGGTGTTACCCAGGCATCCACCACAAATGGACAACTATTGTTGGGCATACGGATCATCATGTGATCACCGTGGACATGCTTGGCTTCACAATGTTGACACAAATCATAGTTGGGACATTGGATGCACTTGTAACGAAAACCGATAATGGGTGCCATTAGGCAAGAATCACATTCGACACCCATATGAATTTGATTGGCATCAAAAGTAACTTCGGGTTGGGGTGGTACTGAAGTAGATTGAGCACCAGCAGCATTAGCTGTAGGATTTGTGGTCTCAGCTGTAGGAGGAGTAGCCTTAGTGGTGGTTGCTGTGGCATCTTGGGACTTTGTCACCACGGCTGGTTGGGCATTATTTTTGGGGGCCACATATAAATGACGGCGACCACCAATCTCCCAAAAGATATTAAAGCTATCTTGTGAGACAATATCGATTTCATCACCATCCTCATCTGGAAAAAATAAAAAAACATTAATTTTTGAAAAAAAAATAAAAAATAATAATAAAAATTGAAGGGGTAATTTAAAAAATAAGGATTTCTGAATTTTGGACCAAAATATTGAAGTTTTGTTCTGACATCAATGCAGTTCATTTTATCGAATTCGAGGTATCAAAATTCTATTAAAAATATGTTTTGAAGTCCTTAACAAAGCCGTGGATTTTTTTAAAATATTTTTTGGAGGACGTAACAAGGAGGAGGCCTCAAATTAGGAGTAATTTTTTAAAGAATTTTTCGAAGACTACCATAAGACGTGGATTTTTTAAATTAATTGTTGCCCTGTGTATTTGAATGGTACTCCCCCAAAGCATGCTTATCAATGTTTTGATGACTCAGAGTATGTCAATCTAATTGTGTTATCTTTTCTATGATTATAAATAAAAACAATGATAAAGAACCATAATACAAAACAATACAAAACACAAACATATATGGGCTACTCATATGGGAGCCCTGCAGATTCTATATATGTGACCATAACAAATAAATATTATATAGGGGAATCTTGTTAGGGCCTTAACATTTGATGACCGATATATGTGGCAGCTATATCAGAATCGATTACAATATCTGACAAATAATATTATATTATTTTCCCGCAAAAATCGAAAATCGGAGTTCGGATATAGGTAAGATCCTTTTCTTAAACTGAACCCATTGGCATGAAATTTAGTAGAGTTATTACTAGACTATACACAATGTCTCATGACAAATATTAACTGTATCGGGCGTCTATTAGAGCCTTTTTTGTGCTAAAAACGTAAAATCGGATGTCAGATATATGTAAATTTGAACCGATTTGAAGGAAATTTTATAGAAATGTTACTAGGGTATATACAATGTCTCATACCAAATATCGTCAATATCGGATAAATATTAGTGCCTCTTTCCGACAAAAAAGTGAAATTGGTCTCCGTATATTCGTGGCTACTCTATGTAAATTTCGATCGATTTTTACGAAATTCATATGAGGTATTGTTAGGCTAAACACAATGTCCAATATTTTTTTTTCTGGCAAAATCCTAAAATCGAACGTCGGATGTGCACGACAGCTATATGTAAATTTCAAATGATCTGTATGAAATTTATCAGGGATATTACTAGGCTACACACAAAGATTATTTTTCCGACAAAAAACATGAAATCGGACTACGGATATACGTGGCAACTATATGTAAATTTCCACCGATTTAAATTAAATTTTATAGAGGTGTTGCTAGGGTATACACAATGTCTCATACCAAATATGGTCAATATCCGATACAAATTAGATTATTTTTTCGGCCAAAACGTAAAATCTGATGTTGGGTGCATGTGGGAGATATATGCAAAATTTCGACCGATTTGTATACACAATGTTTCATATGCCAAATAACATCGTTATCGGTTGATTATAAGGGCCTTTTTCAGACAAAGTCGTGAAATCGGACTACGGATATACGTG